TGTCCTTAAGGGTCACATCATACCAGCGTCCCAGACTTTGAATTGGTTTCTCCATCACAGTTGGTATGGGTTCTTCCACAATGAAAAAGCGGTGGTTTGACAGTCTTCCCTTGATTACTGATATGTTCATAGATTTACTTGGCTTTATATTCATATATTGTGAAATGTTACAATTTAAAAGAACTGCTTTCTATTTTAACATTTTTTAATTAAATTTAATTTATTCCTGTGATGGAAAAGCTTAATTTTCAGCAGCCATTACTTTCCATTGTCTTCAGTGCCACGTGATCATTCAGAAATCATCAATATGTTGATTTGGTGCTCAAGAAACATTTCTTATTATTATCAATGTTGAAAACTGTTGTGCTGATTAATAATTTGTGAAAACCATGATACATCCCATGATACATGGAAACCATGATACACCATGAAAAAACTATGAAATGAAATCGTGGTTACATGCGTAACCTGAGACGTTCCCCTTCAAGGGAACTCCACACTGCATGCCCTAGGGGACACTTCGGTGAACAAAATACCCACTACGCCACACCTCGGTACATGCCTGACCACCTGGTGAGAGAGCACCTAAATAATGGCTAAGCAACTTGGGGGTAATGGGGGAACCCAGCCAATATAATATAAGGAGGGACATCCCATTCAGCCAAGTTATGAACACAACTGTCCCCAAGCAGTTATGTATCTAAAAACAATGGGCCGTCTGCTTGAAACCCTAATGCAGGGGAGACAGCCCCAAATATGGAGAGATTCAGGGGACTGCCTGCTTTAAAATACCTTGAAATCAGGGGAGACCGCCCACACATATATAGGAGGACTGCCTACATCTTTGACCACCTCAGAAGGCAAACCCTTACCTTGATCCAAATCCCTAAGCAGGTCTGCCTAGTAGGCTTGCAACACTGCCATAATGTGCAAAGCCTCCCAATTGTGATCCACTGCCACATACGCCCTGCCATTCAGACACGAGGTGGTCTGAATGGCAAGACAGGAGCCTTCAATGAGGATGACTCGCCCTGGGAGAGATAGCCCACGAGTGTCTCTTCCACAGGGCATTAGCATAATCTGCGTGTTGGAAAGGATGCAGCCAAGCTGAATATGGATTCACCCACGAAATCTCAAGCTCGGCATGGAGATCGGGGAGAAAGTGAAATCTCTTGGGGAATGGATGATTATGGCTGGACAAATAACGCTAATAACGTCCAGTCTGCCGCAAGCAGGTTTTTGTTTTTCTAGCTCCTAGACCAGATTGAGCCTCTTTGCAAAGCGAGCTGTAATGTCCAATATTTCCCCATACGTGGGGCTGGCAGGTTGAGATTACTCAGTACTCACACTCTCCTCGTCGTCACCAACCACATCCACTTCCTCACTCTCATGACTGGATGATGCCAGCAAAATGCTATCTGCGGGATCTGCTATTGCTCGTGCTTGCTATCGAAGATCTAGAGAGATCCAGTCCCTTTTTGAGCTTCTCCGCAAGCTCAACCTGCAAATCTCACGACGCGAGTTTCCACCGTGCCTCGGCAGCAGCAAGAAGCAGATGCCTCTCCCACATCCTGCGAGAACAGGTACAGACGAAAACAGAGCTTCCTCATCACAAATTTATCACAATGAGTGCATTTAGTGCCTTTGAGCACTGAATGAGCGTGCTCCTCGCCGAGACACATAACACAAAGGTCATGTGTGTCCTCAGGTGTCAGAAATCTTGGACATGGAGGCACACATGTCCTAAAACGGTCGCTCAACTTCTTACTCTCAATAGTGCTTCAAACACGCTGAACAAACAAACGGCTCCTGAAGACAAAAAAGCTGATGATTTGCATTATAGGTGCCCTCTTATACTCCTGGGCACCCCGCTGATGACGTTACGGGCTGTGTGGTCCAATTAATTTGGAAATGTATTCACACATGCTTCAGAAACCGGTCATGATGATGGCATTCCCCAAAGTGTCCCCTAGGGCAGGGGTTTTCAACCTGTGGGGCGCGCCAGCACCTGTCAAGGGGGGCGCGAGCATCAGTTAATTCAGAGACGTTCCCTTGAGAATTTATGAATATGAGTTAACAAATCTTTAGCCATCCACTAGGGGGCAATCTGACTCCCACTGCTAGTCAACAGTTAGAAAAATTGTTCGCTGCTTTAATAGCTTTAATGGATATCAAACTTGGGTGGGCGCATGTCCTAAAAGTTTGAAAACCCCTGCCCTAGGGTATGCAGTGTGAACAGTATTAATTTCTTTAAAAAAAAGAAAAAGTCTCACGGAACCTAAACTTTTGTACATTTATGGTCTTTCAATCTGCAGTATGAGCCTTCACTTTACTCTTTCCTCTAACTGTGAGGCAAGAGCAGTGTTCGTATACACCAGTGGTTCCCAAACGTGTCCACAAGTCGTCAAATAAAGTGCGCGCATCCATAATAAAACGTGCCTCACACGGCTCCGGGGGGTGAATAAAAGCCTCCTGTAGCGAACCCATTCCGGCGGTTGACATAGGATATCAGCGTTGCGTGATTAGTGACTAATGCGGAGAGAGAACAAAACAAAACACCGGTCACGTATTAGAAGTACAAACCGAGGATTTGTAAAGAAAAATGTCGGAGGATTTCGATATAAACCAAGAGGAGACTGGTTTTCCTTTGCTAAAGTAAGGAAACTTTGCTTCCTTTGCTCCTATAAACAAACTCGCGAGACTAGCATATCTCAGAGGCGCGCACGCTGCACATACGTCCTGCGTTATCCGCCGGAACGGCTTCTGCGAATGACAGATACCGGAAATGAGAGAAAAGTGTTTATTACGTTTGAAATATGGATATTTATCTTACAAAAAGGCATGGATTCACTACAGGAGGCCTTTATTCACCCCCCGGAGCCGTGTGAAGCACGTTTTATTATGGATGTGCGCGCTTTATTTGACGACTTGTGGACTGTTCAACTGCAACACCCGCTGACTACAATGATAGATCTTGGAATAGCCAGGACAATTTGTAATATAACTCCGACTGGATTTGTCTGAAAGAAGAAAGTCATATACACCTGGAATGCTTTGAGGGTGAGTGAAACAGGCTAATTTTAATTTTTGGGTGAACTAACCCTTTAAGCTATTTGAACAGCAACAGGAAAGTCACAAATCCACAGAATGATTTTGGTATTTATATATTTATATTAACTATTATTTCTCAGATGATTTTGAAAGGCTATACAATACTACATAATATCATAGTCATTAAATATTCACTTGGTTAGCTCTACAGTTAACTTGAATTTGTTCTTGATTATCAGGTGTGATATTAAGGTGCCTGAATGGCAGTTCGCTCATCAGCAATGCATTCCCATCAGCAACGCTATATCATCAGTACTTCAGTAAATCAGCATGCTGTACCTGCTTTCGCTTTTGTTTTACAGCACTGACATCTACTGGTGACTTTAAGTAAGTGTCCTGCATGAGTCTTGATCATTGTATGTCATTTTCAGCAATACAATCTCTATTTATGAGCTCATATTTGAACAGTAAATTAACACAAAAAATGGCTGTACTCCCCTCCGACTGCTCAAAATGATTAAATGATTGCAAGGTTTTTTTTTTTGCTAACAGGTTGCTAGAGATTCACAGTTTACTAAAGAAAACTCTGTGGTATAGAAGTCTTTCTTCACAATGAGCACTAGACACAATATTTGATCATTGTTTGTACAAAACCACTAAAACATCTGTTTCTGTAAGTATGATAAATCAGAGAAACTATACTGTTTCAACTAAAACACTGACTCATCCTTTGACTAAACAATAAACGTCATATGTTTCCTCACATACTGCTGCCAGCAAAGGGCCTCCCAGTTATTCATATCTCTTAAAGGGATATTTCATCCAAAAACACTGTTTCTCTGCAGTTACGAAGAATGGGCTTGGGGCTTTCGAGCTTCAAACATTATGCAAAATCATCATGACAGTATCATAAATGGTGTATGTAGACTTAAATACTGTACATACTGTATTATATGTTTTGGAAAAATATCATAACTTTGAGTGGTGGATTTGTTTGGGGTTGCTAAGATCTTTTTATGCCTTTAAAAGAAGTCCCTTATGCTCACCAAGGCTGCAATTATTTGATCAAAAATTCAGTAAAAAACAGTAGTATTGTGAAATATTATTAAACTTAAAATAACTTACCTATTTTAATATATTTTAAAATGTATTCCTGTGATAGCAAAGCTGAATTTGTCTTCATTACCACATAATCCTTCAGAAATAATTTTAATATGCAGATTTGGTGCTCAAGAAACATTTCTTATTATTATCAAATAATATTATTATTGAAAACAGTTGTGCTGCTTAATCTTTTTGTGGAAATCGATAATTTTTTTCAGGATTCTTTGATTATTAGAAAGTTCAAAATAATAACATTAATTTAAAATAGATTTTTTTGAACAATTGACAGAGTTTTCATATTTATGCTGAATTATCTCTTCAAGCTATTTGCTACTGAGTATATGGGGAAGAGAGAAAAAGAAGTACAGGGATGATATAGTGGAGTTTCCTCTTAAACTGAGTACTTTTTTAATAGTTTTATGTTTAAAAAACTTTGTCCTTTTATCTTCTTGTAATACACTTACATTCAGCTTTAACATCCCTTTCCTGAGCTACTTAGTGTCGAGTGTAGTCTAGAGCAGCAAGAGGTGATAAGAGCGTAAAATTTCTGGTGACCAGCCAAGAGAAATGGACTGCTTCCTCACTCATACAGTCAAGTGTGTGTGTCCAGCACCTCTGAGCATGTAAAGCTTGAGAGCTGACGGGCCTCATTGTTCCAGGCTCCGCAACCTTTCCACAGGGAGTAAGCTGGACATGGGTGGGGGGTGTTCATTTCCGAGGATTGTTGGAGGTCTTTGAAACTATTAAGAAAAGGGAGGGGAATAGATAGAGGTGGGGGACACAGGGAACGGAGGGGAGTGGACTGACAGGAGGGAGGGAGAGGATAATTTTCGAGATGGGGGGCGGAGAGTTTCCATAAAGCACCAGAGAGCAACGGCTTTACAACATCTTGTTCTCTCGTGTTTGTAGTTCCTGTGCATTTTGAGGAGCACACAGATATGGTAGTGCTGAGGTTGGTCATGCTACTGCAGGGGCTGCTTCTCGCAGCACGATGTGAGGTCAGAGCCAGAGACCCAGAGGCAAAAGAGGAGGACGAGCTGAAGGACATGTCTGATGGTCGTGGATGGAACCATAGAGTTCCACTGGTTGGGTTTGGAGCACCTCATCATGGTCAAGGACTAAACAGGCAGAGCCCTGATGTCTATGCATCTGTCCATCATCCACTTGGTCATGGACACCATGACCCCACTCCTGGACATCTTTCTCCAGACATGCCCAAGGGAACAGGGGACCCATCAGATCCATCAGGTGCAACTGAGACCAAGGGCTCTTTACCTCGCACTGGGTAAGTGTTGCTGTTCCTCATTCATTCATCTTGCTTCATTTGATTCAAACACATAATCATGTATTGTATAAAAATATAAAGTAATTAACTTAGCTGAAAAGGAGGTTGTCCCAGGTAATTTTCCTATTAATCTGTCTCATTACATGTATGTCATAAAAAAGCGCATGGTTTGTGTGGTTTTAGAGCTCATTATTTATCCTGGAGAGCCACCCAGGTTGAAGCAGAGCAGCAGCTTGTGAGTTTGGGTGAAGTCGGGTTCTTCTCCATCTTTTCCTCAGGTTTCTTATCTTCTTATCAAAGCAAATTTTTGAAACAATGTCTTTACTGCCACTTTTGATCAGTTTAATACATCCTAGCTGAATAAAAGAATTAATCTCTTTCAAAAAATATGCCACATGAGGCTGAAGCAGATCAGCTTGTGAAGCAATTGCTGTAAAAACAAAGTAAAGTTGGGTTCCTCTCCATCACTTCCTCAAGGTTCTTATCTACTCCATCTCTGTTACAATCAGCATTTGACTGATGTGGAAACTAAACGCAGGAAAAGCGTTTCAGCAAACATTGGGAAGTACCTGTTACTAAGAAAATTCGGTGTCCTATGACCCTACATCTCCTCAAAGTGTCAAGAGTGCCCATATGTTTTCTCTTAACTCTGGCTAATCCATATAATTCAGCCTAATTACCTGGAGCACATAGGAGCCGAATGTTTCCTGCACTTTGAGATCAGACTCAGTTTAATCTTTGTTCAAGAGCTGGGTCACTCTTCACGTCAACCCACATACATACATTACAGCCCAAATTGTTCGGCAGCAGGCACGAGTCTCTGATAACACCCTCCCCTACAGTCCTTGTATTTAATATGTTGTCACTGTGATTAAAGGAAGAACATCTGGTTTGGGTCTGATTAAAATCCCATTATGACCCCATTCAGAATTGAACTGAGAATTGCCTCTCAAACTCCAATTCATGCGGGTACTGAAATGGGATTTAATTTTATTTGAGATAGCAAATATAGTACAGTAATTTATTAATTACAGAATTCTATTTAAAAAAAAAAAAGGAATTAAATTAAAAGAAATGTAACTTTTGTAGGTGTAGTTTTTAATTAAATTAATATTTTTTAGTATGAGTTAACATTAAACATTATTATACATAAAACATTAGGTATTTACAGATGACTATTAATAATAAACTGCATTTGCAATTGCAATGCTTCCATTTATTTTGTTATGGCAACTTATCTTTTATATGTTAATGTTTTATCTTTCATCATTAAAACCTAGATTAGGGACACATAAAAGTTTTGTTAAATAACAGGTGGACTTTAAGGGAGGTCTCGGCCTGTGGATGAAAGAAAATAATCTTTTTTTTTTTGGCACGCATGGACAGCTCTGAATAGTTCGAAAGAAAGACAGAGCGACAAAGAGAGTTTGATGCCCAGGTGCACAAAATTGGAGGAAGCTAGAGTACTTATGAACAAGGAGGAAAATATCACTGATCATGGTAACAGAGGGAATGTTTTGTACTTTTGTGGAAAGTTAAATGAAAATTGTTGAAAATAATTTAAATAGAAATTTCGCTTCACAAAGTTTCTCAAGCTTTCTGAACAAAAAACAGCTGCTGGAATATCACAACAAATCAAATGTCAAAACAAATGACATGCTCTCGAGAAACGAAACCTTGTTTTGCCAAAGTCAAATAATCAAGACACACGTCTTTTGTCATTAAAATCCCCTGAATTTACCTGAATCTGACCTCCACGCCCGTGTATTCGGTTTCCAAATCCTCTCACACACTCTTCTTTCTCTGATGTGGTTTTAGTTAATCTGCTTTCATCTTGGGTCCATCTCAGGAAGCAGCTCTAGCTTACGATCTGGCCCTAAAAAAGTTTTGCATACAATTTATTTCTTGGGTCTTAACCAATCTCAACAGAGGACTGTCCGTCAAAAAGCCTTGTTTCCTTTTGTGCTCAAATCAATATAAACTTACCACTTCACTTGCTTATAATGAGCTTTATTTCTTGGACTAGAATCAGTAGAATGACATGGATGTTTTATCTATTGCAGCTGCTGTAAAACAGTGAGAGGCAATGAGAAGCCTGTATAGAGGGTCCAAAGTCAAACAAAATCCTCCATTAATATTCAGCCTTAATATTTCAGCTCTGTATACAGTAGGATAAATGTCTGCTGATAAAAACATCAAAGCAACTTTTCAAAGCTCTTTGATTTGTAACAGACATTTGTATACATGTTTCTCTCCAACTCGTAATATGTTATGGCTTGCGATGTTCACTGTTTTACAATGTGGTAAGAAAAATAGACGTCATTCAAGATCCACTACACTACCATTTAAATTTTTTAGGTCAGTAAGATTTTTTTTTTTAAAGAAATTAATACTTTTTTTCAGCATGGATGCATTAAATTGGTCAACAGTGACAGTAAAGACATTTATAATGTTGCATAAATTGTTATTTCAAATAAATGCTGTTCTTTTTTTATCGCTGTTTTTAAGATTCATAATATAAAATGTTTTTTGAGCAGTGCACCAAATCAGCATGTTAGAATGATTTTTGGGGGATCAAGTGACACTGAAGACTGGAGTAATGATTAATTAATTAGATTTTAATGAATATTCAAATAGAAAACAGTTATTTTAAATTGTAGTAATATTTCACAACTGTTTTGCAGCCTTGGTGAGCATAAGAGATTTCTTTCAAAAACATGAAAAATCTTACTGACCTCAAACTTTTGAACAGTAGTGTACATTATCTGAAAGTAAGTGATATATTGTTCAGTTCAGCTTTTTAAAGTCCCCATGAAATCAAAATTAAAGTTTTTTGGGTGTTAGTATCAATATGTTAGTCTTAAGGTTATCTATAAGGCAGTGTTGCTCCAAAACAGTGACAAAATTCGCATTTAGCAGATATAAGCATTCAAAGCTTGCAGTTCGTCACTTGTTAAAATGAGGTCAACACATAGAGTAATGCTGCGTGTTTCTAAGCATTTCAGGGGACCTTTAAGTAAATATATATTGTCTTAAGGATGTTTAGATATTCAAAACAAGACCAAAATACTGATTAAGAGAAAGATTTTTTTCAGTACACTCTCTGGAAAATAACACAGGACCAAGGGAAACTATGAAACAAAGGGGCTAAAGGTTAGCGGTCATGTCAGTCTGTATGCATGGAAGTCCGTGGGTATCTTCATTGGGTAAGGATCCCAGGATGAGGGAAGTTTGCGGGAGGGACAGAGCGTCAGACGCTTCCTTCCTGTGAGGGGACACTAATCGGCAAAAAGCAAGAGGAAAAGCAATGTGCTTACAGAGATGCCCATCCATAGAACTATTTGGCAGGAAGTGACATTAAGTCTAATTTAAGCCTGAAAAGGTGCTGATTAGGGAAAAGGAGCTGTTGTATATGAGCATACACAATTTGTAAACATCACTGAAGTATACTGTATATAGTTGCAGTATGTGTTAGTCCAGTAGACTTTTAACACAAGCGATCCAGAATTTAACACCTAGTTCTGTACATCACTTTTTATCAACCGAGAAAATTAAAATTTCTATTTTTTTGAACAAGTAAACTCACTAAATGGAGACAGAATGTGTGTACTGTACCCAACTAGATCATACATTACATTGAATGGACTGACAAACAAACTGCCTATTTTGTTTTCCTTTTTGTTTCAAGGGTGCCAGAATTTGGTTCCAGATAGTTCCAGCACAATTTAACCTCTTCTTAGGGTTACAGAAGATAATGTAAACCAGAGATGAAGGCAGCGAGAAGGAAGTCTGTTGTGCACCATCCTTTAATCCGTTAATCCCAGTCTGCCCCAGAATAAAGCAAAATCACAGGCTTGTAAACTATAGTGATTCACGTGCTCTAAGTAACTTGTCTTGAGATCTTTAATCCCTTTACCTTCAGATCCTATTAATCGATGAGCACATTACAGTCAGCTTAGTTATCAAGACAAATATAATGTCAGAGGAATGACCAAGTAATGCTTGAAATACTCCTTGTTTTAACTCTAACCACAGAGACAAACGCCTTTACATCTGCAATACGATTCCCCTCTGTTTGACATTTTCAGTTAATGTGCATTTCCAGAAAACTTACTGTGTTGCACAAGAACTGGTGCAACTTGGATGTTTTGCCTTACTGTGACACTTTGTATACTGAAAATGTGAGTTGTTTTTTGTCACACAGTTTATTCTATTTGGAGACCAGCACTAAAGCTCTTTATGTAAGACTAACTGTGGCATGTATGGTATACAGTTGCATTTTGTCAGCTCAGACCTTGCGTAAAGCTCTCTAGGATAAGTCAGGCTGGAAGTTTCATAGACTAATGATCTAAAATGCATTAGGTATTATTAATCGTCCATAAATAGTGCTGTTACTTGCTTCTCTTCATGTTACTATTACAAGGACCAGTAGTGTTGGAAGAAGTATGTTTGTGTTGTGTTTTGGCTTATAACTGAAGTGCAACTTTGCTTGACTGATTCACTTGGCTATGTTGGATGTGTCATGGCCTGTGGGTTTAGATACGGATCACAAATCAAAAACTCAACGTGGCGTATTCCCAGTCATTTAGTCATCAAAATTTTTTCGAAAAGTACCGGTCCTGTTGATCTGATCTGCCCTACATTCATGTTTGATTAATGGAGAGACAAATACAGAGTTTCTCATTCTCAAGCTCATACCGAACACATTAACCATTGACCAAAGACTGAACAATCACACCCAAAACAATTCACAACTCAGAAATGGAGGGGATTGGGCAGGGAGGTTTTGACCTGTCTTGCTTGTGGACTATAAATTATACATCAAGAGGATTGAGCAAGTTAAAACAACCAATTACACACAGAGCCTTGTCTGTCCAGCCTTTAACTTCAACAAACCTCTGAGGTTACCGGTTTACTTACAATCAGTTATAAAGACTTGTGTCAAAGATGAGCTCTAATGATGTAAAATAACTACAGCTCATCATCATCATCAGCTCTGCTGTGACCTAAGGAAAAGGACCTCACAGCTGAACTCAATGAAATCTCAGTGTGTTTTGTCTTTCTGGTCAGCCACCCTCAATCAGTGTATGTAACCAACCTCTCTGAACTTGTGTGGTACAGACCTCCTTTGACCTTTGTGTGAAGCAATGACCCTTCCATTTTGTTTATCTTCTAATGGAGCTCCTAATTTGTATGCAACAGGTTGGGTTTTTGGGCTTGCCCAGGTCGGAGGGGGGCTCTGTTTTTTTTACAGCATTGTAAGTCAAGATCAGATCAGGGATGCCATGCTGTCAGCACTATTATCAATGCGTCATGGTTGTTGGCACCTAGACACCTATTCTTTGGTTCCTGGTTTGAAAGGAAGCAACTGTGTGCCAAAACAAGGTGGATATGGGTTGATACAAATGCAAATGTTTGCAATGTAATTACAAACAAAGCATTTTTTATTTCCAGTAACTAAAAAATATAAAGTTAGGTTTTTCACATTTCAGTTAACCTTTTTAAAACCCAGTTAATAAAACCAATAGCTCAGACTCGTTCTGATTGGATCCCAGTACCTTTGAAAGAAAAGTATAGGTTTTCAAGGGTTAATCAACATAAATATTAATTTATCAATGGGTATTATTTGGATGTAATTATTCATAACCACCTATTTTAAATAAATATTTTTTTTAAATAATGTTTTAGTGAAAATATATGGGTAATTCTTACTTTGTTCTTCACTAATCTTATAGCTTTGATTAGATACATTACATCCGGTCTGAGGGTTACATAGGGTCTAGCTCCAAAAGTTCAAATATTTCAGCACATTCAAAGCTCAAATGGATCTGAAAATTCTGCATACACATATGATTGGAACTGTTTCAATGTTTCAAGCTTGTAATGACCCTGATAAGAGGTTAACTACAAATGTTTACAGTGTGTGATGAAGTAACGTCAAGTTGTTTAGCAACAAACAACCAATCATAAACTGCCTCAGGGCTTGCCTTATTAAATCTTCATGTGATTTGTATAGTCACAGAACTTTTATATGCAGAGGGAAACTCTCAAAAATAACCCTGGGTAAACTATTTAAGTTGTGAAAAGCTTTCTTGATGCATAGCAGTGCAGGAATCCCAGCATGTTTACTCTTAATGTTGCTGTAAATGGCGTTTAATCCAAGAACTTTGAAGAAAACATCCAGCCATTGATTCATCAAACTAATTAAAGATTACCATGGATGCATTCCAAGAAACACATTAAAGGGCTTAATGTATCATTTGTAGGTTGATATTTGCCTGTAGACAATGAAATATCTTTAGGCTTGACCCTGAGAACTAGGAGAAAAGGTTCAGCTAAACACAAGCACACAAAAATAACTGTATTATTGCTAAGTGTATTAGTACAATGAACTTCTGGCCTTGACCAAACTGAATACTTCCTGTGTTTCCTAACTACAGAGTATACGTACTAAGTTGTGTGGCTGACGTTCACTCTCCCTTCCAGGAATTGGTGTGCCTTTGTTCACAAGCGTGCTGTTACTGTGGCAGTATCCTGTGGAACTGAGAAGTACACCATCAAGTCCCAGAGTCCCTGTCCTAACGGCACCCCAGACTGCCAGCTAGTCATGTAAGCAATACATCATATCTTAAGGGTGAAATGTAGATTCTGTGCCACTAGAGGCACCAAACAGAATGACTGTTTTCAAACACTTCTCTCACCTGCTATAGTGCAACAGGTGGGACGTGGAAGTAACAATTCCTTTCATTTTCATAACAGAGGAATTTATTTTGTAAGATAACTTATTAACTTTCAAAAACAGGCCCCTATGAACTATGAGGTTGTTAATCTGCTTTTGTCGATACCATCGATTACCCATGATTCTGCCAAGAAATCACCACCAATCAGAGAATTGTGCGAAATAAATTGCGCCAAATGAACATCTTTAAATCAATAGTTTTATATTTATACATTTTTATTTCACTTATGGCAACATTTGAACTGGTGCCATCTGGTCGCGCCATAGAGCATTGAGCACCAAAACAGCCAGAAAATAAAAGTTTCTTTCCTCTGGCCATCTACCTCATGAACAGTTAACTGCCCCCACTGTCCAATAAAAGCATGTGCAATACCCACCACTATCTACATTTATATTTATTTAAAGGGGTCATATGATGTTGCTAAAAAGAACATTATTTGGTGTAATGAAATGTGTTTATGCGGTTACAGCTTGTAACACTCCAAAGAGAAAGGAAAACTTGAAATCGCATCATATGACCCCTTTAACATATCATACCTCTTATTCATATTCACTTGCACAATTTGTATATAGCATATCTGTACATTCATATTTTGTCTATTTTGTATTGTTTATATACTGTATATATATATATATATATATATATATATATACAGTATATATATATATATATATATTTCTTTTTACTCACTTTTTTTTATTTTGTTATCTGTGTCTTGTCACTGTCATCTTGTCTGTGCACTGAAAGCTTCTGTCACCAAGACAAATTCCTTGTGTGTGTAAGCATACTTGGCAATAAAGCTCTTGATTCTGATTCTATGCTTCATAGGATTGTAGTTCTCTCATTAAAGCTGTCAAGTACTCTGTATTTTTGTCCACTTTTCAAACATTTTTTTTGCTTCAAATGAAAGCTTGTAATGTTGTGGAAAATGTTGGGGAAAATACTTGTGGAACCAAGGCTGCTGAAAAAGTGGACAGACACTGTTACATTCTATTGATTGAACAAACAGTTAATCCTGCTCCCAAACTCATGTTACTGGTTGAGCCACTGATTGGTTGGGATACCCAACATACAAATGACTAACTTGTTGCCTCTGCATATTAAGTTAGAATAGAAGAGGTATTTTAACATTAAAACATGTATTACTTCTCTAACTTAATCTGCAAAGTGCATAGCTTTGTGTAGCATGACTTAATTCAAATCCCTTAATTTGTATGCAGGTACAAGCTGTCCACTCGGCCAGTGTACAGGCAGAAGGAGAAAATCTACACTGCACTGCTGTGGCGATGCTGCCCTGGGCATGCTGGGGAAAACTGTGAGGAGACAGGTACTGATGAGCTTTGACACAACAGTGCTTAAGGTGATGCTGGAACCAAGAACAAGAAGTGCTTGCAATATCATGCCTGACTTGCTTCATAAATCAGTGATAAACTTTGATACCTGTGGTAAAAGTGTGATTCTACACTGGTAATGCCATTTCCAAAAGTTTTGACATGGTGTTACCCCTCTCTTGTATACATGTAACAACATTAGAGATTTGAATACACTGCTTGGACAAAAGTATATAAACATCCCCCTCTTTCATCTACTGTAAATTGGATCAGATTGTCTTAAATAGATGTAAAATGGCTTGTGTAAAAGGTGCTTTTAAATGGTGAGGTGCCATATGTTCTTGAAAACATAAGAACGGCTAAACCGGTCAACATTACTTTCTCTCTGTTTTCGCTGTGCTCTATGTCAGTCACAGACGGCCACATCTCTGAATCTGAAGACCCCACCATGGCAGGCACAGCACATCCGGGGAGACATGAAGCAACAGACAGACGTATGTGGTGTAAAAACTCTTTCATCTTTAAATTAGTTAATGATCTACATTTTTACAATCTGTAATTGAATAATCTCTAATAAAAACATGGTTAATACAGTACAGTATTCTAGCCATGCATGACTATATACCTGTGACACTGGCCTGACTGCTGAAACAAACTGAGGAAGTGTGTTTGTGCAAATATTAGCTGACTATGGGAATGTTATTGCCCCACAAGGGAGGACGGAAAAGGGTGTATGAGCATTCTGAAGGCAAGGGGCAAGCCCACACAGGGTGTTAACGTGTATGCTTCAGTCCGAGCATGGACAAAACAAAAACAGAAATCCACAGCTCTAAAAATAATCCTTCGAGCTAGATGTTGGGACAAAAACAAAGGCTTTGGATGCAAACTTGGAAATTCCCATGCTGCTGATTAATCTGATACTAAGCACTCCTACTAATGACCTTCCTGAGATTCAAACACACAGGTTAAAGTGCACAGGTCACATTTGTGCTGTGAGTAACAAAATAAGAAGAGCTGTATGATGGCAAAGGCATCATCAGTCAGTACAACCAAAATGTCACCTAACATTTGGTACTATTTTTTTTCTTCTCTTTTCTTAGGATATAACAAACTAACTCAGGAGAACAGAGAGCAGAATGATTACCAAATGTTTGGCGGTCCACTCTATGAAACTCAACAACCTGATGTAGAGAATCAAACTGCAGCAGAGCCCATCGATGACTATGAGCACAGCCCTCATTCTGTCCGTGACCGACATAACAATCAACACTTTGAGAGGAGAGGTATGTTAAATTTTATAACACGCCAAATTGGTAAACTCATCAGTCCGCTTTTACAGACTTGTTGTGTTTATACTTGCGCTCTTGCAACTCAAACTTCTAACTCAAACTTTCCAACCTGTAGATTTTAAATAAACTGAACATTTTTCAGAAGGTTGTGACGTTGAAGTACTGCAACAATGGTGTCCTTGGTTTATAGCCTCCAGTTTTTTTTTTATTCTGGCAATTGCATTTAGGCTTCAGAATTGGTTAAAGTTATGTTTATTTGTGAAGATTACTGTGATAAAACGTGTAAGAACCATAAACCTTTGTTGGTCACAGAGCTTATTTTCTGCAATAATCCAAAAGCCAATTAAAAAATGCCATTGGCTTTTTGAGGAAACCAGGGTTATGAAACCTTCCAGGTTACTCTCTCTCTATATATACTGACGAGTTTCACAATTTGAGTTGAATTACTGAAATGAACTTTTCCACAACATTCTAATTTATTGAGATGCACCTGCATATATAAACATTCAGCAAGTCTCTCTTCCCACTCTCTTGTACATACAAACACTACTGAAAACACTTCCTTTGGTTGTAATATGCATTGTCAGAGATATTATGGGGATATTATTCTGTCTGTCTCGTCCAGAGCCGGTCTCTCTTACATCCTTCTGTCCAAAGGATGCCGGATTAACAGAACAGTAAATAATGCTGCAGACTGGGGGAAAACCTCAATTCCTTTGCTATGACAACTCCTCACTGTCTCTTCTCATTACTAGTTCCTGCACAGGATATCCTCTCTTTCCCTGGGAAAAAAAGTCCCTCCATACATTGTATGGTTGTGAGTGTGATGTAATGGTCTACGGAAATGACAGAGGTTCAGATATAGATTGAATTCAGGCACACGCGACACTGAGAAAACTTTGAACAGCTGGAGCTGTATTGATGTAAGGGCACATTTGTCACATAAATAACACTTGAGAGCCTCTTTTAAAAAAGTTTCTCTCACAGAGGATTCCAAATAGAAGACAAAAGAAATATAAAAATTTGAAGTCTGAATAGAGAATTTTCTTCTTGTTACCATTGTTCTGGGTAGGCAGAGCTTTTGTGTCTGTATGAAATGTGGTTCAACGAGTAAAAACAATGTTGTCAGGTTAATAAAACACAACTCAGTCATATATATTAAACTTTACAACACAGGAAAAAAAACAGCTGGAGCATAAATTCTGAAGCTTTTCCAGACAGTGTTTTGACAGCATGTGAATAAAAAGAATAAAAACAGCACATGGCCTCTATATTCAGGTTCCCAGCAGGGAACTTGTACATGTACACATCGCTTCTTGCTTTAAACTCGTAACTAAAACTTGTGCACAAAAATGTAACAAAACACATTTCTTACAATGCAGGGGATGTGAAAGGCCTTGGGCTGTTGATGGGTCAGTTAAAAGGTTCAAAGGTCAGTTGAATGGCCCATGCTGAGCTGGAAATAGAGATATAACTCTTTCCAACATGATATCGATGTTTCCTCATGCGCAGCACAGAGTCAAAGAGGACAAACAGTACCACAGGGAAAATTATTATCCAAGAATGGCAATAGAATCAAATTTCTATTTTTGGCAATGTGGTTATTATCCTCCAAAACATTATTGTTGCTGGGATTCCCCTCTTTGTAAGTTGCTTAGAATGTTCATAGAAACTGATGTCCAATGAGAACACATCTATTTTAAGATTCTTTCTAAACAAGGCCAATTCAAAGTTCATGTGTCTTTTTTTCCCAGATCCTCATGCTGTAAATGAAGGTGTTCCTCACCCTGAAATACCTTACCTTCACCATGGGCTCCTACCAATCTTGAAAGAGGCTGTGATGTCTCAGCTGCAGCCTGTGTTGGAGAATTTCAATCTAACCCTGGAACGGCTTTTTCAGGAGGTGCAGGGTTTGCAGCAGGACATGGACCAACTCCGACATGAGCAGGGGCAGGGGAGGGTCACTGAGCCTGTAGAGGTTGGTGGTGAGGAGCACAATCCACAGGAGGCTGTTGAGGCAGAGTTGAGGGAGGGTTTCCAGAAGTTGGAGGAGGTGAAAGCTCAGTTTCGCAACCACCGCAATGAGGTAGAAGCAAGGCTCCACGCACAGCAAACCATGCTGCACTACAACCTGACGAATTTCAAGACAGATATGGATGTCAAAATTAAGCGTAACCAAAAGATGTTACAGGTCAGAATTTTGACTCAACCTCAACCAGCCTCAAGTAACTTTTATTCATGCAGAACTATTGTACTAAATGTATGTATCTTGCTCTAGGTGAATCTCCACTCTCTGAACACATCAATGTCTGAAGTGCGGCAGGAGCAAGAGAGGCTGGACAAGGAACTTCAGAAGATTTGGCATGAAAAGAAGACCAATCCTGCACAGAGTCAGTCTTATGAGAGCACAGCTGTTTGGGAGGCCATCACACGTCTGGACAACAAAGTCATCAACAACACAGTGAGACTTAGTGGCTTGATTGAAGGCCAAGAACAAGTGACTGAAAACATTAAGGACCTCCAGAATGGCTGGAGAGATCTGGACAAGAAAATAGTCCAGACTGGCCGCAACAGCCAGGTTCAGTTTATGGAGACCGGTTTAGAGGTGGAGGCAGCCAAGGTAGCAGTTCTTGACCGCATTAATGAGCTAAGCAGCAACATCAGTGTTCTCCAGAGCACCATGCAGGAGATGGAGACTGATGTCGACCATCTCTATGCAGAGTTCTACAAGAATATAAGTTCGGCAAGTGGGGATTGTGACTGTATCGCTCTTGGAGCATCTGTGACCCAACTGGAACAAACTGTAGATAACGTGATGAAGATAGCGAATGAAAATAAGTTGGCCCGTGAGAGTGCGTCACAGGAGATGTTGGACAATCAGGACAATGGTGCTTGGATTCCATCCGTGGAAGATCTGAAACTAGGGCTACTAAATGTGCAAAAGTCCCTTAAAGAGGCTGTGATGTCTCAGCTGCAACCTGTGTTGGACAGTTTCAATCTAACCCTGGAACGGCTTTCTCAGGAGGTGCAGGGATTGCAGCGGGACATGGCCCAACTCCGACATGAACAGGGGCAGGGGAGGGTCACTGAGCCTGTAGAGGTTGGTGGTGAGGAGCACAATCCACAGGAGGCTGTTGAGGCAGAGTTGAGGGAGGGTTTCCAGAAGTTGGAGGAGGTGAAAGCTCAGTTTCGCAACCACCGCAATGAGGTAGAAGCAAGGCTCCACGCACAGCAAACCATGCTGCACTACAACCTGACGAATTTCAAGACAGATATGGATGTCAAAATTAAGCGTAACCAAAAGATGTTACAGGTCAGAATTTTGACTCAACCTCAACCAGCCTCAAGTAACTTTTATTCATGCAGAACTATTGTACTAAATGTATGTATCTTGCTCTAGGTGAATCTCCACTCTCTGAACACATCAATGTCTGAAGTGCGGCAGGAGCAAGAGAGGCTGGACAAGGAACTTCAGAAGATTTGGCATGAAAAGAAGACCAATCCTGCACAGAGTCAGTCTTATGAGAGCACAGCTGTTTGGGAGGCCATCACACGTCTGGACAACAAAGTCATCAACAACACAGTGAGACTTAGTGGCTTGATTGAAGGCCAAGAACAAGTGACTGAAAACATTAAGGACCTCCAGAATGGCTGGAGAGATCTGGACAAGAAAATAGTCCAGACTGGCCGCAACAGCCAGGTTCAGTTTATGGAGACCGGTTTAGAGGTGGAGGCAGCCAAGGTAGCAGTTCTTGACCGCATTAATGAGCTAAGCAGCAACATCAGTGTTCTCCAGAGCACCATGCAGGAGATGGAGACTGATGTCGACCATCTCTATGCAGAGTTCTACAAGAATATAAGTTCGGCAAGTGGGGATTGTGACTGTATCGCTCTTGGAGCATCTGTGACCCAACTGGAACAAACTGTAGATAACGTGATGAAGATAGCGAATGAAAATAAGTTGGCCCGTGAGAGTGCGTCACAGGAGATGTTGGACAATCAGGACAATGGTGCTTGGATTCCATCCGTGGAAGATCTGAAACTAGGGCTACTAAATGTGCAAAAGTCCCTTGCCTTTGAACAGGAAAAGAGCAGAATGTTACAGCACAATGTGACCCAGCTCCAGGCCTCTCTGCTGGGCAGCCGGCAGGACATCGAAACACTCCAGGAGCAGGACAGGGTCAAGGTCGAGAAGATCCAGCAACTACATAGCATTTTCAACACCTTGCTTCAGGACGCCATTCGTCACTCGGAGATACTGGAGATTTTGCTGGAGGAAGAGGTGTTGGAGTTTATATTGTTGTCTCATGAGGACAAAAGACGTTTCTCTATTCCAGAATTGAGGGAAAGCATCAGAGAAATGCAAGAGCAGATCAATGGACACAGTCGCAGCTTGGCCTCAATGCTGAACTCTGCTACCCCTCAGGTGGCGGCAGCAGATGAGCCCTCAGTGCTTTCAGACTGGGTCTCAGTGGGCACCAAAAGAAGACGTGGGGATGAAAGGTTTGACTTGTCCGAGGAACTGCCAGAGTACTCTGATGATGACTTCTGGACTTTAGAGAAAATGGTGAAAGAACTTGGAGCTCACATTAAACAGCTTGAGGAGCATCGCTGTCCTTCTTGTTGCAACTGCACTAAAACTTCTGCCTCTGGTGGTGTGGAGGTGAAACTGCAGTCTGAGGTGGAGGTTTTGCGTAAGGACCTGGAGACCCACCTTGGAGTTTTTAACAGCATTTTCATTAATACAGAGGGACTTACTGGCTCTGAGGTGTCTGTGGATTTGAATAAATTGTCAGCATTGATGAAGAGAAAGGAAGCAAAACAACAAAACAGGAAACAAAAGAAGAGAGCAGATAACAGAGCTGTTCAGACAGGAGAACGAGTGAATTACCGCAGCAGGAGGGATGCATCACTGGAGTCCGCAGGTAAGGAGATATTAAGGAGAATTAAACATATAGTACCTTGAAAAAACGATTCACCACACTTAATAATATATCTCTTTTTCTTGAATTATACTGTGAATTCATCCTGTTTCCCCCGCTGCAAATGCCACTTACAGGGCTTTCTCTATTAAAAAACGGGCACATCAAAATTATTTTAATATTCTATTGAATTAATTCCCACAACTTTGTTTTAGTTAAATCGTGGCTATGATTTAAATTAAAATGAGGGGGAAAATTAGTACAACATGGCCATAATTTAACTAAAATGGGGGAATTAATTAAAACATGGCCACAAATTAATAGGTTGTGGGAACAAATTCTTCATCCCCCACGTCATGTGCAGGGGTCCATGTATGTTAGTATTTTTAAACAAGAATTTAACATTGTGTAATTTTCAATCCCTGAATAAGCTTTGTTTACACAGCTAAAAACTTTCCTAATGAGGAAAGCCTAATGAAACCCTTGCCATAAATAACTAAATATAACATTTTCTAGACAGAAATAATGCAGATGTTATGTTATTGAACATGTTACATTAAGCATGTAAAATGTTCTTCACTTTGAACCTAGAGTAAATGTAAGTTGATTTTTACATGACAAACGCACGCCCTGTAAATGTCAGTTGTAATTGCATCATATCCCTTTTTTCTTTCCTCTAAGCAGTCCTATTTTAATATCTTATCATTATCATTTGATTTCAAACAGTGCTTCGTCAGCTCCCAGATAGTCCAATTATGTTCCTGGCCAGCACTACTGAAGGGACTAATGGATCTGGCACAATACTTTTTGAAAGCGTGATCCTAAATCATGGACAGTTATACTCGCCAAAAACAGGCATATTTCGGGCTCCTACTTCTGGTTCTTACCTCTTTTTGGTGACACTGGACTTTGGACCAGGCCCATCTCTGGCTCAATTAAAGAGAGGTGGAGAGGTAGCTGCCTCCTTGCGGCAGAACCAGAGGAAGTTGGGTGCACCTGCAACACGTGTCTGCATCCTGCAGATGGAGCAAGGAGAGGAACTCCGTCTAGAGCTGGTGCAGGGAACTATAGAACGCAACAACCCACAAGATAACACCTTTGCGGGACTACTAATGCTGCAGACCACCTGAGAACACGCAACAATCTAAAGGTGCTAGAAGACTGTAAGATGGCAAAAAAAAAAAAAAATAAATAACCCTGCTTTTTTTCTTTTTGCAATGCTCACCACTTAAATTTCTCTTTCAGGATCTGAGAGACTAAAATAACAGCTTATGTTGTAACTGTGACAGGTTATTGAGACACTGAGCACTGTTTTCAAGGAGAATGGTTTAGATGATGTGTCCCTACCTGGTGGACTAGCAAAAGTCTCACATTTGGCTTCAATGTGACAACTACATGATATTCCTTACATTTCAAGATATTGTAATTTTCCAGTTAATACCAAAGAGAAACAACACTCGCCAAAAAACAAAGAAACAAAACAAACAACAAAAAAGAGTTGTACACTAAAATTATATTTTTAAAAGATTACATGGACAAATATTGTAGAGTATGAGGCCTACTCATAACCCTTTCAAAATTCAAAAATTTTCAAATTAGACAGGTTGTTTAATATATTACATAGAGATGGGCTGGGTGATACTATGGGAGAGCACATCGAAATATCTACAGGCATATATACAGTATGGACAAACATGTCCTATCAACATAACTCAGATTACAGTGAAGAGGTGCATTCTCAGTTTTTGGATGAAGAACAGAGGCCATAGGGGATGGATGCAAAATTTTGTATTTGGGAAAATGCAGACAAAATTATTGAAACGATAAAGATGAGATTCTTCAACAGGTAGATGCTTTTCAGAAACATTGGAATAGCCACAAGATTATTCCCCTTTCTTTACTGCAATCAAAAGCTAACTTAATGGTCCGATTGAAAATCCCTTTTAGCCACAGAAAACATTTGATATAGATGATCAATTTCACAGATTCAATCTTCAGATTTCTTGTATAGTAAGAGCAACAAATGTATACAAATATATTTTCATATACACCAAATCTAGTGTTTCTTTAGCATTTTGTGATGTATGCTGACGTTACCCACTCTGAGGTGAGATAATGCTTCCTTTAATATATCTATTATTTATTTTCCGAATATTTTAAATACTTTTGTAAGCATGTGTGTAACCTTGGCATATTGTTTTAATCAAGATGCCCTTTTGGCATTTCAGGGCATACTGTTCCGGAAGTATTGTGACAAAGCACCTTAGTCTGGCACTGATACTATCAAAGAATTGTATATTCACTGTTCCTGTCTTTAAGGGTCCAGATACTGGTGTAAAGAACTATTGTGAATTGTTTTCTTTCTTCTTTACAAATTACATTGGTCTTTTCAATGGCACTGAGAACAATAAACAAGTATTCTAGAATACAACAATGCACTTTCTAAAGAATAACAAAATTAAATTTGCATGGGAGTTCTGTAAACAAGTTATGCAACAATAATGTGTGTTTTGGATCGTACCGGTTACCAAGACCGTATTTTGGCAGCCCTTACTGAAATCTTAAGCACTGATGACTAACAGATGTTACTTGCAGTCGTACCCTTCACCTTCAGCTACCTCACAAACACAGTTCAAACACATGATTCATAATATTGGCAAGGACATATGATCAGAATATCACCAAATCCTCGAAAGTCACATTCACAGTAATCTGTACTAAAAAAACGACCCAGCATCCCAGAGTTTGGCATCTTTGAAGGGGTGTTCACACAGACTGCAGTTAAAGACAAATCGGAGATCCACTCGACTGTAAAGGCCTGTCAGTATGAAGCGTTTTCTTTCCTAATTAAAATGAGATGTATCGACAGCTGGTTCCCTTTATGAAAATACATGTTCAAAGGCTGCACTGGGAATGTTTTCTATTTTGAGGATGTTAAAAATAGCATGCTTTAAAAGCGCAAACAATATATGGTTTAGGCAACAATCATTTTGACACGTGTGAAAAATCAAACTGCATCTACTGAAAAGGCAGCATGCATCTCTTTACCTCTAACCTTCTGTGGGGGACGAGAGAAGAACTACTGTAGAGTTAAATTATGATTTTTAAATGCCACACATCAGGTGGACAGATAAGTCTACAAGAGCTCTTAACTGAACGAGGTTATATTGATAGCATATTATTTTGCTCTGTTGTCAGTTCATCTATTACTATAATATATCATACATTAAATCACAGTACGCTTTACACAGAATCCATGAGAAGTCAACAGCATTTCAACCATATGGCAGGAAGTTTATCCCAGAATCTAAAGAAACATATGCAGAATAACGAGTATATTTTAAGGCAGTGGGGTTTACGTCAATCTTTCCCACTCTACTGTTTCAGTCTGTTGCAGTAATCCTCTAATCCAAGTTTGCAATGATACAGCTTTCACAGAAAGCAGCAAAAGGCACCACTGTCTGATCCAGCAGAGAAAGAGAAAGCTTGTTATATTTCATAGTTATCACGACTCTCCTCCTCCTCTGTGAAGGGGACAATGATGTCAAAGATTAAATAAAAGCCACTCCGCTGATCAGATTTTAATGTCTTGAGATTCCACCATTTTTGCTAAAGTCTTCTTGACTCGTAGGATGGTCAGGCGTGATGCAGGATTGTGGGCCCAGCATTCTGACATCAGCTTTAACATGGCCCTCAAACACTGGGGAGACAAACTCTTTTCAAATCAGGAAATACATTTCTCTTCTGTACATATTTATAACTCAAGCTTCTATGCAAAGCTACAAATACTAACTAAATCTGTAAACATTCTGCAAATATAATCTGTAAATATACTGCCATCTGCTGGATGACTCACCTCATCACTGTTCCATCTGTTGGATAGAGTGGGCCGCAGTCCTTTGACACACACAACCTCCAGTATATCCTCATAAGACGGATCTGATGGCACCATCTCATAATATGGTACCTGATAGTCCTCAACGATACCTTGGAAACAATCAGTGGATGAATTCATTAATTACTAATAGTTTAAATTCTGTAAGCATCCACAACAGGAAGTTTTCATTTGAGATAATTTTAGATCAAAATACTTAAAGTTGCAACTGTTACAACGTAGTAACAGATCTTTTCTTCTGTATTGTGACAAAAATCTGAGGGAAAATTATCAAAAAGAAAAAAATGTAGGGCGGGATTTGGTTCTATCCATCAGTTGTTGATTGGATGGAGGCAGTTCTGAATGCAAGCTTGCAGTTGATTATAAGAAAGAGGCGGGGCTTATGCCGACAAAATGATTGGTCTGAATGGTCAAAAAAAAAAAAAAGTATGAAATGAAGTACATCATTAAGATGTATTTTAGAACCTTTATAGGGTGAATTTCCATTTCATGCTGATTGTAAAATGATGGCTTGGGTAAGAAAAATCTCTTAGATGTATAAAGCAAAACAAAAGAAAGATTCGCCAGTGAATTAGTTTTATGAATACCTCCAGTGACACAACGTCTGGCCATTTCCCATATAACCAGCCCATAGCTATAGATGTCCGCCATGATGTAGGCCTGAAAGTGGTTCTTATTCAGAGTCTCATCCAGGACCTCTGGAGCCATATAGCGCCGGGTGCCCATACGTGTGCTCAGTGGGATGTCCACTTCATTTGTGTCACTGAGACAAACAAAAAAATGTTACTTCCTCAAAATGACTGAACAAACCATTTAAAAAAACAAGCTTATACAATGAATGTGATGAAGCACCTGTTGAATTTCACAGCAAGCCCGAGGTCAGCGATGCAACAGGTGCCATTCTTCTTTATGAGGATATTCTTGCTCTTCAGGTCTCTGTGAGCAATGGCTGGTTTTCCCTGCGTGCCGTAGATCTCCGTGTGCAGGTGACACAAGCCACAGGCTGCAGAGTAGGCCAGTTTGAGAAGGGTCTGTGTGTCCAGAGTGGTGAACTTCAAATAGTCATACAGAGAGCCGTTCTCATGGTAGTCTGTGATCAGGTACAGCTGCGTAGAGGCTCCAGTGCCATTTATGTCTGCAGCAATGAAGCCTTCGGACAGATCGAAGAGTTGCGTTACATGGGAAAACATGGAACTGATATACAATTACAAACACTCCACAAGAACCAGAGCATCTTGAATGACATGAAGTGTACCTAGTATGTTCTCGTGCCTCATGAGCACGGTTTGGTAGACCTCCGTCTCTCTGAACCAGCTGGCCTCCTCTCGAGTGAAGAATACTTTCACTGCTACCTTCTCCCCCCTCCACCGGCCGAGCCACACCTCTCCATACCTGCCTTTTCCAATAAGACGCACTGTCTGGATCTGCTTCGCAATGGTGCGCTGCACCTGTAAAAAGTGAATAGGAACACAGTGAAAAAATGAGCTCAAGCAGTCCTACAAAGATCCTACAGTCTGCATTGTTGATTTCTCACCAGCAGGGGGAGCCCAGAGCCACTGCCTGAGGTTTGAGACTGGTTGATGAGATCTTTCAGAGATTCTCCGGCTGGGATAAAGGCCTTGTCCTGCTCCAGGTCTCTGTGGTAGCGCTGTCTCTCTGTCTGCCACTTATACCTGAGGACACAAGTCAAAAACAAAATCTTTTTTTACAGCTATACATGACATCTGAGAGCTCTTTCCTGACTTTTTCAGTCTTTTTTCTGATTTTTTCAAACAATAAGACACTTTTTGACAGACAGCCATAGACAGTATAAAACATGGACGTAGTGTCCATGACGTCACCCGTAGGTTTCTGAAGAGCATTTTTGAAGCCCAAAGTGGGCGGCGCCGGCCGTTGCCATCTTGGCAGCGCGTCACTCCCGGATAATCAAAAATGGGCAAAGAGGCGGGACGTGGGTGGAGCTGAGGTAACTGGTTGCTGAAACCATGCCCGCCTAGCTCGACGGTAGTGACAGCAGCGGCAACCCACCTGTCACTCAAGTGGCCACACCCTTAATTATACAGAACTTTAAGGCTTAATATAATTTAAACGGATGAAAAAATTCACCCCCCTCACAGTTGTCATGAAGGGCAAAATTAGCTATATAGACCAAAAGCACTTTTTGTACCAGGCTGTAAACATTTTTTTCTGCTGTAAAGTTGGGCATTTTAACATGGGGGGGGTCTATGGGATTGACTCCCTTTTGGAGCCAGCCTCTAGCCGCCAGTCAATGAACTGCAGTTTAAGTCACTTCCGTGTTGGTTTTAAGAGAGAGACTGGAAGGTTGCTGCTTGCAGACAGCTCAGTAAACAGACACTAAAAGGTTAATTTGTTCTAAAGGCAAACTTTTCCATAGTTGTGTATCCAAGACAAGGTATTGGTAGTCTTGCCCCTACTTGCAATAACAGAAGTGTTTCTCTTTTGACAACAGACCATGATGTGGGTGGCATGTATTTTCAAAGGTGCTACGCAAAAACACATCAAGCATTACAATTACAGTTCACTGATGTGGAAAAAATGGGCACGTCACAAACGGCTATATGTAAGTATATGTATATGTAAGAGCTTCAGTGTTTTGCTGCTTCAGTGCGGTGACAATCTCACCTGTAATAACAGATGACAGTGACACAGATGAGGGTGCAGAAGCACACAGTCACTGAAATGAGGAAGGCCAGCCAATGAGGGTCTGGTGGTTCTATAAAGAGATCAAGAGAAAACACATGTCCATCATTACGGCATTAAGTTAACCAGGGCTCAATTAACAGGCCTGGTCAGATTTTTACTTTCGCAAATTTTATATATTTCAAAATAATATGAAATAATTTTAAAAGCTGAATTTTGAGCAGCCATTACTCCAGTCATTAGTGTCACGTGATCCTCCAGAAATCATTTTAATATATTGATTTGGTGCTCAAGAAACATTTATTATCATCAATGTTAATACTAATAATTATCAAAACAGCTGTACTGCTTAATATTTTTGTGGAAACCATGATATTTTTTTCAGGATTCTAAGATGAACAAAGTTCAAAAGAACCAGTATTTTTTTTTTTTAAATATACATTTTAGGAACAATGTAAATGTCTTTACTGTCAATTTAGATCAATTTAATGCATTCTTGCTGAATAAAAGTATTAATATCCAAAAAAGAAAAAAAAAATCAACATTTCGAATGCTAAACATTAATGTATATATTTATTAATGATTTTGACGAGAAATTATGGTATATGATTCTAAACATTACTAATTGATTTGTCCCAGACAAGCCGTTCTTACACTTTTCACTGCAAACTAGTTTAGCTAGCTAGATTATGCTGTTTATTTTGTATTTTATATAATGTGTAATATTTGCCAGGCAGTTAGTACTGAAGCATACCGGTGTCTCGAGGTGGTAACTCTGGCTTTAGGTCTCGATTACAAAAGTCAAACTGGCAGCATTCGATGGTTCGACGTGTCTGTGCAAACTGTGAATCCTGTGAATCAAACAAGTCAAA